TCTCTGTGTTCCTCCTCATTCTTAGAATACACCAGGATATCATCTATGAAGATAATCACAAACTTATCTAGATACGGTTGAAAAACTATGTTCATCAAGTCCATAAAATAGGCAGGAGCATTAGTCAAACCAAAAGGCATTACAGGAAATTCGTACAACCCATACCGGTTCTGAAAAGCAGTAAGCTGTATACTTTCCTCTGACACACCCATCTGATGGTAACCCGTTCTGAGATCAAACTAAGAGAACATGGCTGCCCTCTTCAACTGATCAAACAAGTCATCAATTCTAGGTAGCGGATACTTATTCTTGATAGTCACCTTGTTTAGCTCTCTATAATCCATGCACATACGGAGAGTTACTTGAACGAATGAACCCTTTTTGAAGCATCTTTTCCATCTGCTTTTTCATCTCCACAAGCTCTTTAGGCGCTATTCTATATGCCACCTTCAAAATCAGTGCAGTTCCCGGCACTAGGTCAATGAGAAATTCTACTACCCGTCGAGGTGGAGGTCCAGGTATCTCTTGAAATACATCCTCAAACTCTCGTACCACATCTACCTCACTAATATCCTGCTTAGGGATTTCTACTGAACACAGAAAACTCGTCATCATCGACTCTTCTCTATCGGTAAAAGTGTGGGAAAGCCGTGGCATACCAGGAATATCTATATTTACAATCTTTCCAGCATAATCTAGAGTCACAAAGTGTTTTCACAGCCAATCCATACCCAAAATAATTACAAACCCCTCAAACCCTAACACAATTAGGTCTGTATACAAGACCTTACCTGCAAAGTCAAACACAAATTCTTTACACATCTCATAAAGAGTAACTGTCCCTCCTAAAGGGGTCTCAACACAAATAGGTCTAAACAAGGAGATAGTTACAAGGTGTTCTCTTTTTACAAACTGTCTAGATATAAAAGAATGAGAGACACCAGTATTAAAAAATACACTAATTGGTTCTTAAAAAAATTAAGGATACCTTTCAACCAGCACCTTTAAGTTAAACACACAAAAATTCGTTTATAAATACTTAGAATAAATTCTACCACCAACCTAAACCAGCTAACTCATGTTTCCACAATCCGAGGATTACCTAAACTCTCACAAATCTAAGGTAACCTAGGGCTCTGATACCAAACTGTCACGCCCCAAAATTTGGACAATTAAATATTAAATTTGACTAAACCCCAATCAATATTCCATCATCCAAATCCTAGAGGTGAAACAAAAAAAAAACTAAACACCAACCAAACCATCCACCATAATCTCATAACTAACCAATACCTCAACATTACGATAGCAACAACTAATCAAAACAACTTAAATAAAGTACGGTTACAAACCATGCCAAATTATTCCAATACTAAAGTCATAAAAAAAATAATAAATACATAAATTAATATCAATCCTAAGCTCAAGAAAACAAAAGAAGTCCAAGAGATATGTCCAAAAACTATAGTTACTTCTCGTCATCACCGTAGCCCCAACTAATCTTGCAAAGGAAGCTCAGCTGCGCTCAAACAGAACGCACCCGAGTTGCCAAGAGACAAAACGGGTCAGTATACAGATATACTGATATGAGTACAAGATTCAACACCCACGTGTCCACCAGACACAAAAAAAAAACATTAAATTCTTACTACGAGACAAGACAAGTAGTTCCAACTGCACCAAGACGAATAGGTAGTTTCCCAAGATACGATAGCATTTAGTTTCTTGTCCGTACACAACGAAATATAAATTGATTATAAAATAAACAAAATAGAAATAAAAATATGGTGGGTTAGCCCTGCATAAAAAAAGTTAGTAAGACCCACCATCCTACAAAAAATAAAGTTAGTTGTATATTTTAATCATAAGTAACTTGCTGAAGAAGTATAAAAATACACCGTTTCATACTTAAATAATTCGAATTGACCAAAATTCAAAGAACGAAAGTTGTACAGAATCAAATTTCCTAAAAGACAATGCAAACAAATTTAGTAGAAGCTAAACAAGTTGAGAAAAAAAACTTGATAGAAGAACCTAAACGGATTTCAACCGAAAAATCAAAAACTGAAAACGAACATAAATTTTCCTAAGATGATTTTTTTCGAAAAAGTTCAAAACACGAAAAATGTGCAGAATAATTTTTTACTTCAATTTACATGAAACCAATAAAAATAAGCTCAATTCGTGAGTTAAAAGATCTTCTAAAATCTGCATTGTTAAAATAAATCAAAACTATAATATCTAAGATCATCCGATTATAAGTTCTAATCGATCTTTTTAATAAAAAAATTAAAACACAAAAGTTGTCTCGAATCACGTATACATGTCTTTGCTCAAATTTCATAATTTATCGAGGTCGTTTACTATTTCTTTTAACATGTACAAATCAATACAATTCACACTATACTAATAAACTCATAATTAAATTCTTTATACCTTAACTCAACCACTTCGGCCCTCTACTTCCGGCCTACACATATATCCCATGTGCCTTCCATATATCTAACACCGCTCCGAAGCCAAACTTGCACAGGGATATCGTCCTGAGTTTGACTCACACTCTCCGGATGATTAGCATATACGTACGCGCGTAAATCAAAGCACTCGTCTACTCATGAGAACGAGGCAACAATATACAGATACAAAACATCTCACTCATGAGAACAAACATAACAATGCCAAACCTAAGGCATTCAAATAAATCTCATAATCCTCACTTTTTTTTTTATACGCTATTTCTCACCAACACTCAAATAAAACAATAATCCATGGAGTCATGGTGGAGCATAAGGAATTTATCTATGGGTTCCTAATCAATTTTAATGTCATATAACCATGAGTGTGATTACAACCATGAAATAAATCCATATAAAAACCCTAAACCTGGCATACACCACTAATCAAAATAATTAAAATCAATCAATCAACTAAAAACCCTAAACTTTGCATACACAACTAAACAAAATAATTAAAATCAATCAATCATCTAAAAACCCTAAAACTTACATACACAACTAATCAAAATAATTAAAATCAATCAATCATCTACACGTAAATATGAAATCAATTTAACATCAAATAAATAAAAATAATGAATTAAATATAAATCAAGGGAAGTGAGTTTTGTACTCACAATATTTTTTTTTTGAAGATCAAAGAATTATTTGAAGAACTAATGGAGCCACCAAAATAAAACTCTAATCTTTTTCTTTTTTTCCCTCTCCTTTTTCTCCCTTTGCCGTCTCCTTCTCTCTCTCTCTCTCTCTCTCTCTCTCTCTCTCTCCCGAAAAATCTATGTTACATTTCTCATAGATTTTTTTTTTTTTTTTTTTGGTTTTTATTCTTTTTTTTTTCAACACCTCTCTAATACTTTTAACCTAATTTGACAATATATTCTATTTTATTTTATTAAATAACTACAACATATATAAATATAAATATCTTATATAAAATCTATATAAATAAGTTCTTTTTTTATTTAAAAATATATAAACATAAATATTCTGATTAATTATATATAATTAACTAACACATTAAATTAATTAACTACTGAGAGGGAGTTTTTTATGAGCATTAAGGCCAAGCTAAGCCCAGGCGTAGTAATAGGTCGTTCTATGGGCCGTGGTGAAAAAGGCTTAGTGAGCGGACCTTAGTGTTAGCTCGGTCCAAATATGGTTACAGTCATCACGGTCGGAGTGGTGATAATTAGCTCGGTCATAGTATTCGGAGCCGAGGTATTTAGGTTTCTTATGGTGGACCTTACTCTTGTTAGCTCGGTCAAAGCTTGCTATAGTTAGCTCGGTCTCAACAGACAAAACCGAGGTACAAGTGAACAAAGAGCCAAGCCTATGTGTTGCATGTGAAAGCACTGGATTAAGTATGACAAAGAGCTAGTGTTAGCTCGATCATACTGTCATCTAACCGAGGTAAAACCATCTCACTTGGTTTAAGTAGTGAGGGGGGTGTTGAAGGATAAACATTATCTTTCAGAAGTGTGATTCTTAGGAGGACTCTACATGGAGGAATAAGAGTCCTACTGGGATTATGCCATGCAAAAACTATAAAAGCTCACAACATAACCTATGTAGAGGTAACACGACTTTGATTCTCGAATACACATTACCTATTTGTCTATTTGGCTAACTTAGGCATCGGAGAGGTATCCGGCACACACCTGCCGGCTAGCTCACGTTTGTGTTTTCAGGGAGTAAAGCGATGACGTTTGGAGGAGTGCAGACTTGATCAACAGGATTATACGAGAACATTATTTCGTGCTTGTACAACTACTACATTAAATTCTCGTGTAACCACACAATTAATAAAGTCAAAAATAAAATAAAGTAATAATAATCTAAACAATAATAAATAATGACTTACGAAAAATTAGGGTCACTATAGTCTAGGTGGGTCGGCGAGTCATAGGCATGGTATTAGCTTGGAAGTTAACTTGGGCCATTTTCACAACCCAGTGGAAAATAACAGATTAGGTATTGTGGTGAAGGGCCCAAATTCAAACCCCAATACTAATCCTAATTGGGCATCTACAAGGCCCAATTTGTATAAGGGGCAAACAAAACCAAATGGTTATAATGGCAGCATTACTAATGGGTTGAAGTCAAAAAAGAAAGGTAAAAGAAGGGTAAGATTTTCTTGTGCAACTCAATCCCTCACTGAGGTTTCAGGGTATTCTTATCTTGCTCATATGTATGGTCATAAAGGGGCATCATCAAGCAAGCCCACTCCTAAATGTGCCATCTTTCTGCTTCAACTGAATGTAGTTCTGGCACCTTGAATCACATTCTTAGTAAGGCACAAGCTAACATACAGTTTGGGAAAATCCTGGGCATCAATTACAAAAGCAAAAAGTCTGAAACTCTGGAAAAGATGGTGGATCTAGAGTTAGTTGATAGAGCAATGAGGAAGGAGAAGAGGAAAGAATAGGGGTTTGGTAGTTATTTGTTGCTAAATTTTGGTGTTATAATTGTTTAATTATGAAGTCGATGTCTTGGAATGTTAGAGGATTGGGAAAGTTAGAGAAGATGGGAAGGATTAGGAAACTAATTTATGAAAGAAAGGTTGATATTGTGCTTCTTCAAGAGACAAAGAAGGTTTCTATTTCTGAGAATGAGGTAAGAGCTTTGTGGGGAAAGAGAAACATGGATTTTATGGTGGTGGGTTCTGATGGATCTGCTGAGGCTCTTCTTTGCATATGGAACCCAGATGTTTTTAGGATGGTGGATTGTTGTTGTAATAAAAGATTTATTCTCATATCAAGTAAATTGTTGAATACCTTTGATTGTTCTATTTTGAATGTGTACGCACCAAATAAGGTGAGTAGTAGATGTCAATTTTGGGACACCTTACTCAAACTAAAATCTGAGTTCCCAAAGCCATGGTGTTTGGGGGAATACTTAAATGAGATTAGAAATATTGGTGAGAGGGTGGGTTGTTCCAGAAGAGATAAGGGGATGATAGATTTAAACCCTTTCCTTAAGAGTTGTGAGTTGAATGATCTACTTCTGTTAGGCAAGAAGTTCACATGGTGTAATGCCCAAGATGGAGAAAAATGGAGTAGAATTGATAGATTTTTTCTTAATCTGGAATGGCTACTGAAGTTTAATTTCAAAGAGTGGGGTGTTCCTAGGTTTTTTTCTGATCATTGTCCTATATTGCTTATGGATGATGAGAGGGACTGGGAGCCTAAGCCTTTTAGGTTTATTAATGCTTGGTCTAGTCATCCAAGCTTTCCCTCATCTGTGGTAAAGCTTTGTCTTGAATCTAGGATTATTGGGAAAGCAGGGTATGTGTTGTTCCAGAAGCTGAAAATGCTAAAGGTAGAGCTGAAAAAATGGAATTTTGAAGTTTTTGGAAATTTAGTAACAAATCTCAAGAAGGCTGAGAAGGAGTTGGTTAACCTGGACATCTTGGCTGAAAATAGAGTTCTGGTTATAGTTGAAAAGGCTAGAAGAAGAGAAGTGAGGGGTGAAGTTTGGAAGCTTAGTAAAATAGTAGTATGGCTATGACAACAGAAATCTAGAGTAAACTGGACCATTAATGGAGATATGATTACGAAGTTCTTTCATATTATAGCTAGCAACAGAAGGAGTAGAAATTCAATTAATTCCATCACAGTTGAAGGAGAGGTGATTGAGGAGCCAGCTAAGGTAAGGTATAGGGTGTTACAACACTTTAAGAGGTTGTACTCTGAAAGTTGGGCAAGAAGACTAGCTCTGGAAGGTGTCTGTAAATCAGTTCAAGATAGTTCTGTATATCATGATCTTGAAGCTGTTTTCTCTGAAGCTAAAGTTAGGGCAGCTGTTAAGGAGTGTAATGGCAATAAGGCTCTAGGACCTGATAGTTTTAATCTTCTATTTTTCTAGAAATGTTGGAAGTTAGTTCATCAGGAGGCCTTGTAGTTTTTTAGGGATTTCCATGCTAGTAGCAAGCTTTCTTATGGGATTAACAGTTCTTTTATCACTTTTATTCCTAAAACTGATAATCCCATTGGGTTGTCAGATTTTAGGCCCACTAGCTTGGTGGGTAGTTTATACAAGATTCTCTCTAAAGTTCTGGCTCTTAGACTAAAAAGAGTTCTTCTTTCAGTTATTGGTGAAACACAATTTGCTTTCTTGGGGGGGAAAGGTGTATTGGATGGAGTGTTTATTGCTAATGAAATAGTAGATGGATGGAAAAAAAATCCAGAAGAAAAGGTGTTATTATCAAACTTGATTTTGAGAAAGCGTATGATTCTATTAATTGGGAATTCTTGGTATCTATGCTCTATAATTTTGGGTTTGGATCTAAGTGGGTATCCTTGATGAAGGAATGTATCGCTACAACAAGGTTGTCTATTTTAGTGAATGGCTCACCTACAGAGGTATTTTCACCACAGAGAGGTCTCAAACAAGGTGATTATCTATCTCCTTTCCTATTCAACATAGTGGATGAAGGATTGAATATTTTAATGAACAAAGCTTATAAGAAAAGTATTATCAAAGGGGTAAAAGTAGGAGTAAATGAGGTAGTGATTTCCCATCTCCAATTTGCGGATGATTCCATAATTTTTTTGCGAGGCAAATTTGGATCAAATAGTGTTAACAACACGGATACTAAGATGTTTTGAAATCCTTTCTGGCATGAGAATTAATTTCCATAAAAGTGTGGTGTGTGGAGTTGGAGTGGAGGAGGAAACTTTGGTATCTTATGCCGATATTTTGAATTGCAAGGTCCATGGACTACCACTTAAATTTTTGGGTTTGCCCTTGGGAGCTAATCCAGGAAGCAAATCTACTTGGTAGCCAGTTCTGGATACAGTAAAGTCTAGGTTGGGTGGAAGAGAAAGCTTTTTTCCTTTGCAGGTAGATTAACTTTGATGAAGTCTATTTTATCTAACCTTCCTATTTATTATCTATCTTTGTTCAGAATGCCTTGTGGAGTGGTTAGAGAGATTGAAAAGCTTGAAGCTTTTTTTCTTTGGGGTGGGAATGGCTTGAAGAGGAAGGTTCATTTGGTGAAATGGACTGACGTTTCTAAAAGTCTGAATCAAGGTGGGCTGGGAATTAGAAGACCTAAGGATGTCAATGCAAGCTTACTACTTAAATAGTGGTGGAAATTTGGAAGTGAAGTAAATGCTCTTTGGAGAAGAATGTTGTGCAGCAAGTACATAATTGAGGAGGTTCATTGGCTCCCACTTATAAACTCATCAGCTTGATTTTCTAGAATTTGAGAAGATGTTCTTGCAATTGCTAATCATAATCAACCTCTTGTGGAGTTCTTTTTGGGGAAGTATCAGATAAAGGCTGGCAATGGGAGTAAAATCAAGTTTTGGTATGATAAGTGGGTTGGAGGTAAGTGCCTTAAAAATGAATTCCCAAGATTTTTTAGTTTGTCAATTGCAAAAGAAAGCACACTGTTTTATTTCTCTGAGAGGAAATCCAACTCCGGGGAGTGGAACTTCTCATTCCGTAGGTCATTATATGATTCAGAAAAGGCAAAGGTTAACAGGTTGGTTGCAGTGTTACTGGTGGCCCCTCTTCTGGGACTGGATAAAGAAGACTGCCCTGTTTGGAATGGGTCTAATGGTGACAGGTTTAAGGTCTCAGATATATATCGGTTTAGTAAGCCCTTCTCTCCAAATTTGTAAGTTTGTGTGGAATAATGCCATTCCCCCCAAAGTTCAATTTTTGGGTGGTTGGCATGGAGGAATAGAGTTAAAACAGGGGTTCTTTTACAACATATAGGTGTTCTGAACAGTAATGCTTTTGTGTTATGTGCTTTTTGCAAAATTGAAAATGAATCTGCTATTCATGTCCTATTACATTGCCCATTTTCATGGCAAGTGTGGTTTGATTTAAAACTTTGGTAGAGGTGTCTATGGGTGGTGCCAAGGAGTATTAATGGCTTATTTCATTGGTGGTTAGGTTGGAATCATAAGAAACTAGTTAGGAGATTGTGGAGAGCCTTGCCCTCTATTGTGGTTTGGTCCATTTGGAAGTTAAGAAATGATTGTATTTTTAATGAATTGCAGCCTTGTGGATCTGAGTTAGGTGAGCTTATTAAGATTTGATTTGCTTTATAGGTTAAAGCTTCTTTAAAAAGGAACGCGCATACTCTGCCATGGATTTAATCAACAATTTGGCTCAAATTAAAGAATGCAGTTGAGGACAGGCATGGATTTAATCAACAATTTGCCTACTGATTTGGATCTTGGACTGGTATATCTGGTGTGTATGGTTTGATATAATCTAAGGGCCGCTACTGGGTCTGCTAGAATCTAAGGGCTGCTATTTGGTTTGTATCTGATGGGGTCTGGTCTGTAGTGATTTCTGGTTTGGTATTTTGGGTGGATTTAAAGTGACCTGAGCTGCTGTTATACACCGATGTATGGGTTTGCTAGAATCTGAGGGCTGATATAATTTGAGGTTTGTTCTGCTAGAATTTGAGGGCTGTTTTTTGGGTTGTATCTGATGAGGTCTAGTCTGTAATGGTTGCTGGTTTGGTATTTTGGGTGGATTTAAAGTGACCTGGGCTGCTGTTAGCATAAGGTTTCTCTGTTGTCTTGATATCTTTTGTTGCTATCTGTTGATGCTATCTTTGTATATCTGTTGTCTTTGTGTATATGTTGCTGTATTGCAAGCTCTTGTGGTGTGTTGTATATATCTATTGGTCTCTCACCAACAGGTACTTGGTTTGGTGCTGCCATGTGATTGTGCTAGTTGCTTATTGCCAACCTAGTTGGGATTGGGTTGTCTTACTATATTCCCCCCCCCCTCTCCCTCTTTTTTGTTGATGTTTTCTTTCTTATGTATAAGATTCTCTATCATCAATAAAGTGTTCTTTGTTATTGATAAAAATATATATATATATATATATATGCAACATTATTCATCATCAAATAATTTTCTCCCATAGTGTGAGTCACAAAGCTGTTCTGTCTCTCTCTCAACTTGATAAAAAAATAAATAAATGAAACGTGGCACATTGTATTTTTTATAATTTTAAAAATATTCAAAAAAAAATTAGAAAAAGATAATTTCATGCTTCAAATAAAAATATATCTGAATGGATGTAAAGGAATTCAAATATCAAATATAAAACAGAAGCACAGGGCACGAAATATTTTCGTGCGTGACATTAATAACAACATCCAAAATGGTTTTTTAATACAATTAATTTAATAATAATCTTTCAAGATCTATCGTATTGGATGAACTCCTACCTATACAGTTTTTTATATTTATTCATATTTCTCTTATTGGTTTCAAATTTCACACTAATAATCTGAATAATTTATTTCATAAATCTTATAATGAAGATCATTCATACAACATATTAATTTTATTAAATAATTATAAATACATAAACAAATCATATTTTGCTTGGAAAAATCCCCAAACTAGGGAAAATTACTAATGGGTCAAACTTTTGAGACTTATTATCCATTAAGTTCTATTGATAAATTTATCATCAGTCTCTTATTTTTGTGAGTCTCTTTGTTTTTATGAATAAATTTATATTGATAAATTTATCAGTCTCTTGTTTTTATAAATAAATTTATCGGTTAGGACCTATAGGTAAATAAATATAGTTAATAGGACTGATTGGTAAGTGCTCCAATTAACTAACATATGGTATGGGAAGAAAAGGACTTGGGTGGTTGCTATGCGCCTTGCACAACAGTCACTATTGTGCAGCGAAATGGATCCATTTCGGGATCCATTTTAATGATTCGAATCGTTCACATTTTAGAGTACATCGAATAAAACATACCTACAAAAATTTAAGTTAATCGGATATCGTTAACACTTTCATTTACATATATTTATATTCATTTTAATACTTTAAATCATAATTATCATTTATTTTCATAGATACAAATGTGAGTAGATGAAAAGATTAACGATATCCGATTAACTTGATTTTTTCCAAATATATTCTACGCAATATATTTTAAAATGTGAAAGATTGAAATAATCAAATTAAATTCCAAAATTAATCCATTTCACTATACAATAACAACCGCTTTGCACCTTGCACAGCCGCCACCCAAGTACGAAAAGAAATAGCACATAGTCTTACGGAGAAATCTGGGATTACCTTGGAGCTTGGAGTGTTTCTCCCCCTCTCTCTCTCTCATACATACATACATACGCACAGAGAAAGTAAGCACGTGCGCATACGCATATGAGAGCTCGTACGTACACATTCACAAACATGTGCGCACCTGCACAGGTATTTCTATCTGAAATGCTCCTTAAACTTGTTTCACATTTATTTTTTTTCTTATCTAGCTTACAACTTTCAAAATAGTTAATCAGGGCAATTAGTCAATTAATTGTGTAACACTTTTTTGTGATGTGAGGTGTCGGGATTAAGTCTTATGAAAAGAAATTTGTTACCATTTGCGGTAGTGATTTATTTCTCTCTCATTACAAACATTGCATATAAATAGTGGTTGTTGGGCTTGAGTTTGAGTTTGAGTTTGAGTTTGTTGAGCTTGATATATTGGTTGCGTAGGCATTCTCGACTTTCTAATTGTTGTTAACTAATAATCTGTTGATGATATAAATATTCCTTATATTTGTAATTATTTTTTTATAGATTCAAGAAAAAAAAATCCAGACAGTATGTTATTTTTATCTCAACGGTATTCCATAAGATTGGAAAATTATAATTAAGTGGGAAAAAATGGAAGCAATTGTAAAATCACTACAAGAATTTTCACTTTTGGCGACTAAATTTTTAGTCACCAAAAGTCATATTTTAGTCGCCTATAGTCTTTAGCGACTAAATTTTTTGATCGGAAAATTAGTAGCCAAAGAGTAGTCGGGAAATATAATTGCCGACTAAACTTAATTTAGTCGCCAAATGTATTCATTTGGCAACTAAATATTTAGTCGCCAATAGGTTTGAAAATTAATTAAATAAATACATTTTTCCCGACCAATTTTTTTGTTGCCAAAAGCCAATTATTTAGTGGCCGAAAAATTTTTAGCTACTAAATTTTTTAGTCGCCAAAAGCAAATACTAGTGTTTTGGCTATTAAAATTTTAGTCGCCTAAAGTCAATCTTTTTTGGTTTCTAAAAAATTAGTCGCCTAAATTTCAACATTTTTTGCGACTAAAAATTTAGTAGCCTAAACTACGACATTTTTTACTACTAAATTTTTAGTCGCCAAAAGTCATATTTATTCTTCAACTTTTGTTTTTAGCTACAAAATATTTTAGTCGCCAAATGTTTGATTTTCTTTTGGCTACAAAACTTTTAGTAGCCAAAGGTTTGATTTTCTTTTGGCTACAAAACATTTAGTAGCCAAATGGTTATTTTTCTTTTGCCTACAAAAAATTTAGTAGTCAAATGTTTGATTTTCTTTTGGCTACAAAACTTTTAATAGCCAAATGTTTTTTTTCCCTTTTTATTGGCTACAAAACATTTAGTCCGCAAAAACATAATATTATGTTTTATTACTAATATTATAATGTGTCCATAACCTGTCTGTATTCCATTCAACCTGTAATACGTATATAAATAAAATGATACATAAATTATCAATCATTCCACAATCTGCATCCGTATACAAAAAATAAATTACTTTAACTGTCCAAGTACATACAAACGAACGATTGTCCAAACTAAAATAATAATTCCATACAACATATACAATCATACAAAAAGTAAAGCCCTCCATATACAAAATTATATTTACTATACCATGTGAAATGACCATTTGGCATGGTACAAACTACCATCGTAATCTGTACCACGACAAAAGGTGATGTATGTACCAAGCCAAAAATACATCTATGTACCACGACAAAAAATCAATTTAGTGGACGGCGTCAAAAGGTGATCTATCTACCATGCCAATAATTATCTGTTCACTGCAAATAGTTTTCTGTATCAGGAATAGTTAACTGCACAAAAGTTGAAAATGACATAAGTATTATATTACTTCTATACAAAAGTACAATTTCTTCTCCATACACCAAAATATCTCTACAAGTCCACGCAGCGAAATCATCTACAAAAAACAAAAAAAAAAACAAAAAAACACTAGATTGGACCCAAAAATGCCCAACTTCATGAATGAATTTGGGAACAAGTGACAAATAAAAATAAGTGAGAAGCAACCTTCCATGATGAATCAATTATCAGTCATTGTACAGTCTTTCTAAAGTCTTTTTTTATATGGAACATTGTTAAATGCAGAACAATCATTACTAAATCTTTCATTAGTAACATACAGCTAATGTAACAATCTTCTATTTATATGCAACATGTATCCAAATTCTGTGGCTAAACCATTATCAAAGCCCAATGTGAATAGAAAGTATTCTTTTTACCAACTTCCTCATTATTTGTTTGCAAAAGGCACTTGAATCATTAGATTGTATATAAAACCATCGGTGCTTATTAATGTATGCCAGTGCCATTTCAGAGAGGATATTAGAACATGTGATAAAAATAATAACACACGTGTGTACGTTCACAAAATTAGCAAGTTTTAAACATTCCGTCAGTTGTCACAAGTCCTATTTGTAATGGGAAAGCTGCCTGTGAGAGTCAAACGGAGGTTCGAGGGATATTTTGAAGTTTTGCCTCCGAAACGTCCTTTTCCGACTAAGTTTTGGGCATATTCGTCTC